TGTTGAAAAAAAAATTATTTTAGATAAGAATCGTTCATGTATTTTTGTCTGTCTTTCCTTTGAAGTAAGACAGTAATTTATTATTAATTTTTTGCATTTATGTACTGTTTGTCATTGTGATAGATCCGGTCAGATATCTCTGTATCTTGTGTCCATCGCTTGTTATGACGCATTAGTTTCGCCAATGCTCCCTCACTACATCTTTCTCGTAATTAATTATACAGTGATTCCTTTTTTTTTTTTTTTGGCAGAATAGATAGAAATAAATTGTGTGACTGCCTTGAAAATATGAAATTAGTAGACAATTGATTGAAGTTTTCACCAGTGTAAAAAAGTCAAGTAAAAGTTGCATCAGAGCAAATGTAATTAAAACTTCACAGCACAGGCAGGACATAATTTAAAATACACACAAACACACACACACATACAGAGAGAGAAAGAGAAGAGAGGGAGAGAGAGAGTAAAACTACACGAAAAACAACTAAACAATATTTACAAGTACATATAAATTTTTATTTTTGCGATGTCATGAAATCGCACAGAAGCCCAAGCAAACTTTCTTGGGAAGATAACGAACAGTTCTGATAAGACAATCACGTCTGCTGAAAACTCAATAAACGTTTCACAGCTTTCTACTCCATGCTAGTGAACTTTAGCATTTTTGGGGGTTTACGTTTGTGTGTGTGTGTGTGTGTGTGTGTGTGTGCGTGCGTGCGTGCGTGCGAGTGTGTGAGAGAGTGTGTGCGTGCGTGTGTCGGTTTTCATTTATGTATTTCCTAATTGTAACCACCTAGCCTAAGTTCCATGGCAGCGTTGTCGACACGTCCTCTGGTTAAATCGTTATTTTAAGGCCATATGTGTTCCAAAATCTGGCCTGGTCGTCCACGTAGCTTAGTAACAGTACAAGTCGATATCTGGAAAGTCTATCTTCTTCGCCCTCACTGGCTGTAAACTGCAGTGCAAATTTATGGATATTTGTCCATATCTGGACTTCAGTCCCGTTTCAGAGCTTGTGTTTTGCGGCATCTCTGTTTTAGCAGATCTGATTTTATTTGCAGAGGTCGTTGCTCGAGTCTTGCGACCTTGACTTGAGTCCCACTCCAGTTGCCTAATCACTGACATGCGATTTGACTTGGGATTTTTTCCAGTGACTCGCGATTCGACTTGAAACTTGTTGTTTCGAAGACTTTTGGTACGACTTTTTTAAATTTGCGGAAGGTCACTCTGAGGCTTAGTGATCAACGTCAGTAGCATATAAGGTAATTACGACCCGCATTTGTTTTTGGAGGGGAGGGAAAGACAGGGTTGAGAATTTCCCCTATAAAACCTTTGCTAAAATGCCTACATAAGGAAAATAAAAGAAAAATGTTTTACGCCTCACCCTGAAAGGCGCACCACTTCGGATTTGGTATTTTTGGGCAAGTCACATGAAATGGGATCAAGAGTCAAAGTGACTTAGGTGCTATTTGTACATATGGAGTTAGTTGCGTATCCTTTACAGGACGTAGCAGAACTAACCCTAACAGCCCCTGACTGTTGTGTGGTTTTTTTTTTCTAGGCAATTTAGGGTTCTCTTGGAAACCCCTTTCCCCGCCTTGTCGATCATCTTGAGGCAGGCAACGATGTGGAAGTGATTTTTCCAAAACTCTTTGAGAGTAAGATTGGTCCCATCAGTCACCTGAAAACAATGCTCGAAGGGTGCTTTAGTGTAGAGCTTCCTAGAGTTAGAAATAACTTGCTAGTCCATGGGCTGGAGTAACGGAGTGGTGTTGTGAGACAGAAACTGGATCTCGATGAACTTAAATTCTTCAGGGAGGTCATCGTGTAGGCCTGGAGGATTCAGGTACATATATCACAATATAACACAAGTTTGAGAAAATGTGTGATCACAAGCTAAACATAGACTGATGTATCATGCGCACAATCCAGGACTTCCCCTCTCCTCGCAACTCGTTATGCGAAACGTCACTCGTTAAGCAAGTCATTCTTTTTACAATTTGTTTTGCTCGTTATGCGAATTACTCGTTATGAGAGGTGCTCGTTAGGAGAGGTTCTACTGTAGTTTGTTAGCTGGGATTTTCAGTTTGTCCCGTACCTGTGTGTTAAGGCTGTGTTGTTTAAGGTTGTTGTATGCATCTCTGCCACTAGTGCTCATCTGCCATTTTAATGATATATCTTTTGATTATGCTATTCCTTTCAGTTTTCCCGAGTCGTACTTCTACTAAAGCATCACATTTAGCTCCTTTTTTGGCTGCTTGGTCAGCTTTTTCATTGCCTATTACACCTCTATATGCTGGTACCCATACAATGGTGACTTGGCATCTCTTTATTCTTGGATTGTGTTGTTATGTTTAAGATCGTTTCTTTAATATCTGGTCTACTGCTAGTTTTATATGTTTTTAACGTCTGCACTGAATACAAAGAATCTGTCAGTATGGTCAATTTTGTTGGAGGACTGATATTGCTCGCTACCGTTTAAGAGTGGGAGTCGTCGTGGCAGAGCGGCTAGACGCGGGCAGCGGATTGGCAGGTCGTGGGTTCGCTCCCTGGCGGAGTCGGACTTCTCTTTGAAAATGACCTTAGCTCCCAGGTCAATCCAGCCTTGAGTGAGTACCGGGTGCAGTCCCGGGAAGTAGAGGTTGCCAGCGTGATGCTGACCACATCACCCATCTTGTGCCGTTAGTCTATAAAACGTAGGTAGGTCTAGCCGTATATGCCCTATACGCCTAAAGGTGCGGAAAGGGTCCTCTGCTTTACTTTTACCGTATAAGGGTAGTCGGTATTATTGTCTCTTTTATCACAATATGTTGAAAGGACCAGACTTGACGTTCCACATTGTGCAAACGATTTTCTTTAGAGAAAGAAGTACTTTAGGGAGAACAATAGCCCTACTTATGCTAAGATAAGAAAATGCAATTTGAAAACAATGTTATGGTAGAGCTGACCATAACCGACGCCTTGGCTGGCAGCTGGTTTATGAGGAAAGCTTCGACAAGCTGACAGAAACACACCGCTCTTCTAATCAGGTGTAACATAGGAACGATCAGGAGATGTATGTAACATAGGAACGTTCAGGAGATGTATGTAACATAGGAACGATCAGGAGATGAACACGTAATATTATTCCTGATTAATTAAAACAGGGAAACACTGAAGGCCACAACCAAACATGACATTTAGCACTGACAGGTCTATACAGTGAAAAAAAAGAGATATGGAGCAGCACTAAGATGTAAACACGCCAGATGAAGATGAGAATGAACAGGTGACGGATGGCTGCGTGGACGAATCACGGTCCTAGTGGAAAGGAGATAACGAGGAACGCTGGTCGGACAACGTCCTACAAGATTATAGTAATAAAGTTCGTTCGTTCGTTATCGCTCTCTCTCTCTCTCTCTCTCTCTCTCTCTCTCTCTCTCTCTCTCTCTCTCTCTCTCTCTCTCTCTCTCTCTCTCCCTCTCTCTCTCTCTCTCTCTCTCTCCCTCTCTCTCTCTCTCTCTCTCCCTCTCTCTCTATCTCTATCTCTCTCTCTCTCTCTCTCTCTCTCAACCGCTGTCTTATTTTTATCCGATGCCACCCAACTTCAGCTGAGGTTGCTACCGCCACCTTGGACCGTCCCTAACGCCCTCAAAGTGTGACCGAGCCTGCTACCGCCCTCTAGACTGTCCCAACGTCGCAGTTGGGCGGTGGCGCCCGCTTTGGGAAATAGTATTCTAGAACCTTGCTGATTGCTGTAGTGGGCGATTGTTTTTCTCTTCATCTTGAGGTTCCCGAAGCATTGGCAAATGTGCCTGCTGACATCTTTCCTGGCTGTAACAAAAGGCTATCGTGAATCCTCTGGTTATCCCGCTCTCTGTCTCTCTTTCAATAAATCGTTAGTATACTACCGTTCCACCCAACATGTTCCTCAACCCCCTCCCCCCCCCCCCACACACACACACACTCATGCAATCCTTCTTAATGCCGAAACAAATTTGACATCACATCATAAAAGGGAAGCATCCTCGTGTTCTTTGTTTATGAAAACTTCCCTGTAAGATCCACACACCCACACACACATATATACACGCGCATACAAACATTCACGCATACACACACACACACACATACACGCGCATACACACACGTGCATACACACACATATATATATATACACACACAAATACACACGCGCGCATATATACACACACATACACACACACACATACACACACACAAAGAAAGTTCTTTATTTATGAAAAATCCCCCGTGTGACACATTGAAAATCAAAAATAAAGCTAGTTCTTTGTTTTTAAAAAAAAATTAGAGATTCATTTTTTTAAAACCTTTTTTTAATCAGAGACAAACTCCGTGCATCTAATTCACTCCACCTCAAAATATTTAGATGCACATGTGATCCTTTAGAATATAAACTCGGTTGAAATTTCCAAATAAAAAAATGCAATCTTCCCTCTAGACTGTCTTCAATGATTACCTGTACCCATTTACATTGTTTTTACCTAGTTCATGCATTTAATATCACACACATAAGGGGGGCCGCGTTAACGCAGTCGATAGGAGACTCGCTTTCAAATCCAGCTGCGACTCGCTGCAGCCACGGTCGGTGTTAGAAACCGTGCGGTTCCCAGGGTTCACCTAGTCTCTGTGTAATGGGTACCAGAATTAACACTCTGGGGTTAATGGTGGAACGTCGCTGCAGCTGCAGAGTTGCGTGCAGACGGCGACACAGGTTGCCAGTTTATTATCAGCTGTTTGTAGGGGTGGCAGAGCACTTATGGTTTATAACCTTGTGCAATGGCTCTAGTTCACATCTCCCGACTTTACCTTTACCTTTAGGGCGAGGGAGGAGCACGTTTTTTCAGACGCATCTGATTAGGATCAGGCCATGCTCGTGTTTGGTGTATTCGAACATGTGTTAGGTCAGCGGGATATACTATTTAAGTGACCTTATCTTACTGTTCCAGTCTTATACACAGTCACTAGCTTTTTGTCTACACACTATGGTAACTATACTTTCTTCATCTCTTCTATACACAATGGCGACTAAACTTTCAGAAATGTTTATCTCGATAATTATAATTATGCATTTTTAATTGTATCTGCACACTGTGACAGCTATACTTTCTTAACCTGGCTTTCACTGTGTGTACAGGATGCATCAAAGTGTGTTTATGGGCCTAATTCTTTACTAACTAAAATAATATAACTGTGGCACTATATAATTTCACTGCAGCGCAATATAATTCAGCTACCGCATTGTATCATGTTACTAAAGCATTATGTCACTAAACTACAGTGATCGCGCTATGTCATTCAAATATAGCACTTGTACAGAAGGCTTCAAATGAAAGCTGAAAAGTGTGACAGAAAATACGGTAATCGTACCATTGTTAAAATGTCGATATTTCTTCCTTTCTCTGTTCATGGTATTCTGGGAATCTTTCTGTAGCATTTCAGCTCATAGCCCCTATTTTTGTTTAAAGGACAGGGGGATAGTCCACGATTCACATCCGTATGTTGTTGTTGTTGTTGTTGTTGTTGTTGTTGTTGTTGTTCTTCTTCTTCTTCTTCTTCTTCTTCTTCTTCTTCTTCTTCTTCTTCTTCTTCTTCTTCTTCTTCTTCTTTTTCTTCGTCTTCTTCTTCTCTTCCACCTTGTACCTGTAGGGAGGGATTGGGGGGGGGGGGGGGGGAAGGTAGATGTAGCGTTGGTTGATGAGCTCTGTCAAGAGCACTATTAGGACTGATGTTCATTTCTGTAAGGCTGTTCTTAATGCCATCACTCCATATTTTACGAGGTCTTCCACTCGCTTTATACACGTTGTAACGTTTTAGTGTGGCTCTTTGTGGCAGATAGTACCAGGGCATTCTTGTTAGGTGTCCAAACCACTTCATTTGTTGTTCTTTGATGACTTGTAAGACTGGCTTTATTCCTAGCATTCGTCTGATTTCATGATTTCGTATTCCGTCTTTCCTTAAAACTCCTGCAGCTCTTCTAGTGCATTTTATCTCTGTTGTCACAATTTTACATTCATTGGAGGATGTAAGTGTCTATGTCTGGCATTGATAGCATAGTGTTGGCCAAAAAATAGTTCTGATAAGATTCAGTTTAGTACTCCGAGGTATCTGCTTGTGTGTCAACAGGGGAGATAGTTGCCCCTTTACTTGATTAGCTTTGGCACATCTCGAGCTAATTTCTCTGTCCAGTTTTCCGTCGGATGTGAAAATTGCTCCCAAATACTAAAATTCTTGTGTTTGTCTAAGGGTGTTGTTTTCTAATTTTATTTCTAAATTGTCTTTATGTCTTCCTATCATCATTGTCTCTGTCTTCGTAGTGTTTTTTTTTTTTTTTTTTTTTTTTTTTCATATTATATTCCTCCCCTTTGTTACTAATTTGATTTAGATGGTTCTGTAGGCATTCCGTATTTTCTGCTATGAGTACCTGGTGGTCGGCGAATAGTAATTCTGTAATATCGTCTTCATGATTAAAGTTCGTTTCGCTACATATGGTATCCATGTTTGTTTTAAAAAGAAGCGGCGATAGTACACAGCCCTGTCGCACACCAGAGTTCTCTATAAAAGTTCTTGACAACCCTGCCTTCGATCTTATGCAGCATTTACTACGTGTGTACAGGCTTTTGCAAATATTAATGAGATTATTGCTGATTCCCTTTTTTACCATACATTCCCACAACATATTCCTGTCGACTCTATCAAAGGCTTTTTCTTGGTCTATGAATGTCAACAAACATGTCTTATCATGTTCTATTGCCCTCTCTGATAGTTGTCTCAATGTATAAATGGCATCTGTGCAACTTCTGTTTCGTCGAAAGCACATCTGTGCTTCTGAAAGTTGATACTCTATCAATGGTCTCAGCCTTTTTTCGATGATCTTAGCATACATTTTCCCAGTGTGACTGAGAAGTGATATTCCTCTGTACTTAGTACATTCCCTCTTACTTGCTTTATTTTTCCATAGAGGGACGATGACAGCAGTCTGTCAATCTGATGGTGTTTCTTGATTTTCTCATGCCACCTGAAATATCCTCTTTAACCATAATGCTCCCGTTTCTCCTGCTGCCTTGAAGGCCTTAACTGGTAGATCATCAATACCTGTCGAATTTAGTTTAGGGACGGTTCGAATGACATATTTTACTTCATCCAATTATTTACCTGGTACTAGTTCCTCCACCGTTAGTTCCGAGTTGTTTTTATGTTCTTACCTGCTTTTATCTGTTTTATTGCAGCTAAGTAATGATTCGAAGTAATTACTCCACCTTGCAAAAATTTTAGTAGGTTCTTTTAAAGGCTGGCCAACTTCATCATTTATAATTTCTGTTAGGTTGTATTCTTCATTCCTGTTTCTCGTGCTTTTGATTTTTTTTTTTTTTTTTTTTTTTTTTGTAGTAGTTTTTCACTGCTGGTTTTTTTTTTTTTTTTAGCCAGCTTGCTTCCAAACTTTTCCCATGAATCTCTTTTTGCTTGTCTGATAGTTCTATTTACTTCTCTTCTAATTATCCTGTATGTTATTTAATCCTCTTCTGTTCTGCTCCTCAGCCAAATGCCATAAGCTTTCTTTTTATTGCTCACAATTCTTCTTTTTTCTTCAGACCACCATGTTGAGAGCTTGCGCCCTATGTTACCTTTCCTTTTAGTTCCACATATTTCTTTTGCTATTTGCATAGTGGTGCCTCTGAAATTAAACCATTTTGTAGTTAGCCCAAGTGTGTTTTGTGGAAGCTGTTTATAATTTTCCTGTAATTTTTGTTGAAACGCTCGCCTATTTTCCTCACACTCTAGTTCTTACCAATTTATTATGTCACTTTTATTACATTTCTTTTTTGTTTGAAAACTTATCTTGACTTTTCTGTCAAGTATCACCATCATATGATCTGTATCTAAACTCTCGAATCTGTAACTTCATGAAAGTCTCTTTTTCTCGTCAAGATGTAATCAGTCTGACTCTTGGTATCTGGATCATTCCATTTATACCATGTAAAAACTTGTAAAGCTCTATGTTGAAAGAAAGTGTTGGTAATAACAAGGTCATGTTATGCACATTTATCCAACAATCTTTCACCATTTTCATTTCTAATGCTGTTGTCTTCATAATTGCCTAGGTATCTTGTAAATGTTTTTCTGTCTCGTCCTGTCTTACCGTTAAAATCACCCATCACTATCAACTTCTCGTTATTGTCTATCTTAAAAATTTCATCATCTGCGTCCTCAAAGAATTGATCTAAATCCACCACACTGTAATTTCCATTGCACGGAGCACATATTTGAAAAATAAAACCTCTGAACTATTTCCTACTTGTAATTTCAAACTTATAATTCTTTCCGAGATGTAGTTAACTTCAAGTAAGTTTTTTGCAGTTTCGGGATCGATGACAAATCCCGCTCCATGCTTTGCACGTTGCATTTCCTCTACTCCCGATTGTATCAAAACGTAATTTGTATGTAGTTTCTTCATTCCTCGTCCTTTCCTTCTCACTTCTGATAAGCTTAATACTTTAACATTATATTTCTCCATTAATTCGATCACTTGTTCTTCTTTATTGCCCCATCCACATATATTGATTGTCCCTACCCTGGTCTTAACCTTCTGCTGGCCTCTATTTTCCCTATTTCTAAAACCTCTCATTTTTTCATCTTGGGCATTTATGTTGACTCTCCGAAATTCAACATCCAAGTAAATGGGACAAACATTTAACAAGTTGATATGTAACTGGGTACCCTGATATCATCAGATGGAAGATGTATTAAAGAAGTTAAATGTAGAATTGCTCAGCAAAGACAGCCTTTTACAAAATGAAGAATATTTTATGCAATCTTTCTTTGTCAACTAAGCGAGAAAGATAATTCTTCCTAAAAGCTGTGTAAATCCTCTCCCCGTATTCGGAAGTGAATCATGGACGAGAAAAATTATTTGTAAGCTGCAGAGATGTGGTTTTATAGTAGAATGACGAGAACACCCTGGCAGATGAAAAGAGTAGTGAAGATGTCTTTAAAGAAACTTACTGACGAAGAGAACTGGTTTCCAGTATTAGAAAGAGACAATCTACATTCTTTGGTCATGTGATGAGGAGAAAACTGGAGTATATCGTGACAGTAGGAAAGTTGGAGGGAAAGAGAGACAGAGGGAGACCGAGAGAAAAGATGCTGAACAGTTTGACATCATGGCATGGAGGATCATTTGTATCTGAGTTAACTGAAAGTACACGAGACCGAAAGTTGTGGATTGATATAACTACCAACTCCACATGACATTGACTTTATGAAGAAGCAGATATGTCACATCTTTCTTTGATAAGTCACTCTTCGCTGTATCCACCCTTAATTGCAAATTCATGCAGCCTTGAACCTGTTTCATTTAACACTTTATTTTCTATCAGCATTCTGTCTTTTGAATTCTGCCTTATTCAAAATGAGTGTCTCCTAGCCAATTGCAGCCCCTTTCATAGCCAAAGAAATCTGCCCTTTCATTACTCCGTACTCCTTAAAGTACAAGACAGTATATCATTGTGAATCCCTGTAATGCTGCGTGCTGATTTACATAATCTTCTTGGAAGAAACGATGGTAGTATTTAAATCCAGCCACACTGGACTACCGGTAACTTCGTAACCGTTTTGTAGGGCCCCCCCCCCCCCAAAAAAAAAACATCTAAATGTTTGTACGGTTGAACGTGGTTCCTGGGAACTGCAGCTGTTTGATTCTCATTCTTGAGATGTTAAACCTACAGAATGTAAATATGGCTAGGGGTGGGGATCGTGTTCTAAGATCGAAACTCGCAGTAATAATATATATGGATAATAAAAGACCGTGCAAACATGACTGGAGATGACACGCGAAGCTGAAATGCATACATTTCTAACGGACATACATAGAACAGTTCTAAGCTAATTCTAAGAATCCACCCGATTTTCTTATGATCAATTCTAAAGTGTAGTAAAACGCTGTCATGTGTACTTAAAAGTATTAGTTACAATCAGTTTTACGAAAGGTAATCCATGTTATTTGCCCTCCTAAACTCCACAGCATTTTCTAACAATTACCCAACTGCTGGCCACAGCACTGGCTATAGCCACGGTCCATAGCGCCTGTATCCGCAGGGTCTGTTACTTCGCCAACTGGGCACAGTACGGTCCTACAGCAGACACACAGTTCTTCGCCAGTGACATGGACCCAAACGTTTGTACGCACATTGTCTTGGCTTTCGCCAAACTTGACGGCAACAAAGTGGCGCCGATAGATTGGAATGATGAGTCATCTGATGGCATAACTGGACAATATGAAATGGTAAGGGTTTTGCTGTAAACTATTAAAAGCATACAGTCAATGTATACCAGTTCAGTTCATTTTTACATTGTACAACTATTATAGTCAAACAATGGTATTCTTGAGTCATATTTTCTCCTTATAATCCTCCCTCTTTTCGGCTCCTCATTTTCCTCCTCTCCTTGTCGACCTTTTTTCTACTCCCCGCCCTCCTTCCCGTTCTTCTTCTTCATCCTCCTATTTCTTCCTCTTTTTTCTTCCTTCTTCTTCTTCTTCTTCTTCCTCCTCCTCCTCCTTCTTCTTCTTTTACTTCTTTTTCTTCCTCCTCCCCCTCCTCCTCATTCTTCTTCTTCTTCTTCTTCCTATTATTATTATTCTTTTTCTTTTTCTTTTCTTCTTTCTCTTTTCTTCTTCTTCTTCTTCTTCTTCTTCTTCTTCTTCTTCTTCTTCTTCTTCTTCTTCTTCTTCTTCTTCTTCTTCTTCTTCATCTTCTTCTTCTTCTTCTTCTTCTTCTTCTTCTTCTTCTTCTTCTTCTTCTTCTTCTTCTTCTTCTTCTTCTTCTTCTTCTTCTTCTTCTTTTTCTTCTTCTTCTTCTTTTTCTTCTTCTTCTTCTTCTTCTTCTTCTTCTTCTTCTTCTTCTTCTTCTTCTTCTTCTTCTTCTTCTTCTTCTTCTTCTTCTTCTTCTTCTTCTTCTTCTTCTTCTTCTTCTTCTTCTTCTTCTTCTTCTTCTTCTTCTTCTTCTTCTTCTTCTTCTTCTTCTTCTTCTTCTTCTTCCTCTTCTTCTTCTCCCCCCCCCCCCCCACCACACAAAAACTCGATTGTTCTTTAATCTGCTGTCTGTACGTCTGGCTACCTGCCTGCGTGTATGTATGCATATAAATATATGGCACCCTATATTACCGAGGCCCTCATGAAAATCAAAGAATAGTAAAACTACACCCTACCAATCAACAAGAAAAGAAAGAAGAAAGAAAGAAAGAAAGAAAGAAAGAAAGAAAGAAAGAAAGAAAGAAAGAAAGAAAGAAAGAAAGAAAGAAAGAAAGAAAGAAAGAAAGAAAGAAAGAAAGAAAGAAAGAAAGAAAGAAAGAAAGAAAGAAAGAAAGAAAGAAAGAAAGAAAGAAAGAAAGAAAGAAAGAAAAGAGAAGAAAGAAAGAAAGAAAGAAAGAAAAGAAAGAAAGAAAGAAAGAAAGAAAGAAAGAAAGAAAGAAAGAAAGAAAGAAAGAAAGAAAGAAAGAAAGAAAGAAAGAAAGAAAGAAAGAAAGAAAGAAAGAAAGAAAGAAAGAAAGAAAGAAAGAAAGAAAGAAAGAAAGAAAGAAAGGAAGAAAGAAACAAGTGATAGCTAGCCAGCAAAAGATAATGACCTGATGCATTAGATTACTTTGAACATTCACCCTTGGCGGCAGTGGCTAATTGAAAATATTGCTTGGTAACCCCACTGTCAAGGTATAACAGGTTATGCTGAGAACAATATGGGAATAATAAGACAACAAACACATCAAATTGATCATTTCAGTACAAACGAAAATAAATCAGAGATCGCTGCATAGTAGGGGTGCTGATTATTTACTTACTACCATCTGCTGGTAAGTAAAATCAAGTTAATGTTAACATCTCACAATCACAAAAATCAATATAATTTTGGGTATTTCAGGGATAGAACAAGTGAAGGAATAAGTTTCACTTACAGTCTCAAATAAGTACCAGCTCCTGCAACAGTTAGCAAAGAAGATACATATGAAAGGAAACTGGAAATAATCTCGAAAGCCTAAAAAAGAACAGACACATGAAGAGAGTCTAAAACCCTTATAAAAATCAAAGAAATGAAAAGCAAGACATGCAGACCTAAACTACTAAAGCTAGAGCTCATGTATAATACACAGTAACTAATAGGGAAGTTGGGAGATGAATAAGTGCGGGTGAAAGGTAATAAAGCGTATATTTAGATGACCTATCACAAGAAGCGGAGAGCAACAGACAGTGGGAATCGTAAAGAACCAGAAATAAATTATTGGATAAAAAATTGTCCACCAACTGGATCATTAAAAAATAATTAAGGACAAGTTCTTACTAAAACTAAAGGTCAAATGGACAGATCGGCTGCATATTTTGAATGAATTTCTCAATGCATCAGTCCAAAAGGTTCATCCAGATATCCAGCCTTTACAGATAGAATCAGGTATGAATTGTGAGACACCACCTAAAGAGGAAACTTGAAAAGCTATCAATTTTCCGACGGAAGGGAATATTGCAAATCCACATCCAGATGATATCCAGATGATATCCAAGCACAGGTTAATAAAGCCAACATAAACCCATCTACGGAATTGCTACACAAATTATTGAGTAAACTCTTGGAAACAAAAGAAAAACCAGGAGATTGAAGAAAAGGATACCTGATGAAAGTGCACCACAAAAAATGACCAGTAGGATTGTGAAAAAATATAGAGGCATTATTTTGTTGTAAGTTGTGAAAATATTAGGTATGGTTATTTGGCAAAGACCTAAGATGTTACTGATAAGCAGCTAAGTGATAAACAGGCAAGTTTTCCATTGAACATATCCTGTATTGACCAGATATCCATGCTGCACGTAATTTAGAGAAAAGTATTTAATTTAATTCACCACTTTATACTGGATTCATAGACTATGTAAACGTCTTTGACAACGTTGATAAGGGATCTCTGTATACATATATGAGGCACTATAGGATCTCACATAAAATTATTACCTTAGTTAAGGCACCATATAAAGACAGGACATGTGGGAACCTACAAAACAGCCTGGTGATATCCATCTGAATATGTGAAGTAATACATCTATTTAGGCAGTAATCTAAAAGGCAGCAAAAGGCTTATAGACAAAGGTTGGAGAAAATAAAAAGCTCGGGAACATTTTTCTTAGAAACATTCTGTTGATTTTTGGTACATTGTATTTCTTTATTTAAAAAAAATGCTTATATCGATTTTACAGTCGCAATATTCTGCCGCTAATACTAACTCTAGACGTTTCTCATTGCAGCTTGCAAATCTCAAACAAAAAAATCCAAGTCTGAAAACCATGATCGCTGTTGGTGGCGGGGCCTTAGGTTCCGGCCCTTTCCAGAAGGTTGTCAACACCGCAGCCTCCAGAACAGAATTCGTCACCACCACGGTCAAGTTCCTGCGAGATCAAAAGTTCGATGGTATCGACATTGATTGGGAATTCCCCGCCAACGGAGGAAGTCCAGCAGAGGACAAGCATAAGTTCACACTCCTACTCCAACAGCTGAGACAAGCTTTTGACTCAGAGGCCAGCGGGAACGACAGACTGCTGCTGTCTGCGGCAGTGTCCGCGGGAAAGTACACGATTGATTCGGCCTACGAGGTGCCCGCCATCAGTCAGGCTCTTGACTGGATTAACCTGATGACCTATGACATGCACGGCAGCGACTGGGAATCCGAGACTGGGCACAACAGCCCTTTATACCCTCATGGTTCAGGTAATACTTACAGTAGTAAAGGGGCTCTTTTCCGTGTCCTGGGATGTGATGGGTGTGGGGGTGGGGGAGGGGGGGGGTTAATTGAAGTACAGGCTGTTGCCCAGAGCGGCGTCCATGGCCTAGTCGTTGCGAGTCCGACTCGTAATTCCAACGCACGGCGATCAAAACCCTCTGCTGGCTGCGTGCATTTTTATCATGGTATGGAACGTCGCAGATCGACCCAGCCTAAAATGGATACCAGGATGTATGACCTGGGGAAGTAAAGACGGCCGGCGTAATGTTGACCACATTACCCACCTAGTGCAGGTTGGTCTGTACAGATATGTACTCTTCCCATTTGCTCGCTGCGCCTAAAAGCGTTAAAAGGAATCTTGACCCCTGGCGGAGCCAAACTTGTTTCAAAAACGACCTTGGCTCCCAAGTAGACACAGCCTTGAGTGAGCTCCAGGTGCAGTCCTGGTAAGTAAAGTCGGCCGGTGTTATGCTGACCACATCACTAATCTTGTGCTGATTGATCCATACAAATATATGTCTAGCCCTATATGCCCTACACGTCTAAAGGCGTGGAAAAGGGTCCTTTACTTTTTTTAAACTGTTGCCTAGGCAGCATATACCTTTTCTTTCCGCTGCCTGTAACGCCAAGGGAATTGCGTATGTCGATACATCTTGACAGCAAAGACATTGCAGGAGTTGCCACCGGGTCACCAGTGTAAAGATTGTAGAACCCCATATGATCTAGGAGTTATAAAACAGCCGTCTCGATGTATAGTAAATCTAAGACCTCTGGGTCGACAGCCGGGTGTCTAGCACTGCACTGCAACAGGATAACATGAATGTTAGTCTATAACATGAATGTTAGTTTATAACATGAATGTTCTACTTATCATTACCATCTCTGGTGTTTGATGGGTTTGAGATGTTAGGCCTTCGCACACGTCAGGCTTCAGTCGTGTAAGTGGACAGACATTTTAGCTGGCTAATTAGGTAAATATGTAGATAGCACTTTAGTTAGGAAGAAGGGACGGACAGCTAGCTAACTAGATAGGCAGACAGGCAAAGAGACAGAAGGAGGGACGGACGGATAGATCGAGGACAGAGACAGACAGACAGGTAGATGGATGGACGGACGGACGGACCTACCGACCGTAGACAGACAGATAGACAGATAGATTAGATAGATAGATAGATAGATTAGATAGATAGATAGATAGATAGATAGATAGATAGATAGATAGATAGATAGATAGATAGATAGATAGATAGATAGATAGATAGATAGATAGATAGATAGATAGATAGATAGATAGATAGATAGATAGATAGATAGATAGATAGATAGATAGATAGATAGATAGATAGATAGATAGATAGATAGATAGATAGATAGATAGATAGATAGATAGATAGATAGATAGATAGATAGATAGATAGATAGATAGATAGATAGATAGATAGATAGATAGATAGATAGATAGATAGATAGATAGATAGATAGATAGATAGATAGATAGATAGATAGATAGATAGATAGATAGATAGATAGATAGATAGATAGATAGATAGATAGATAGATAGATAGATAGATAGATTAGATAGATAGATAGATAGATAGATAGATAGATAGATAGATAGATAGATAGATAGATAGATAGATAGATAGATAGATAGATAGATAGATAGATAGATAGATAGATAGATAGATAGATAGATAGATAGATAGATAGATAGATAGATAGATAGATAGATAGATAGATAGATAGATAGATAGATAGATAGATAGATAGATAGATAGATAGATAGATAGATAGATAGATAGATAGATAGATAGATAGATAGATAGATAGATAGATAGATAGATAGATAGATAGATAGATAGATAGATAGATAGATAGATAGATAGATAGATAGATAGATAGATAGATAGATAGATAGAATAGATAGATAGATAGATAGATAGATAGATAGATAGATAGATAGATAGATAGATAGATAGATAGATAGATAGATAGATAGATAGATAGATAGATAGATAGATAGATAGATAGATAGATAGATAGATAGATAGATAGATAGATAGATAGATAGATAGATAGATAGATAGATAGATAGATAGAAAAAAAGGTCAGTCATTCATTATCCTGTGATTGTTTTTCTTTTGTCAGGAGATCAATACAATGTACAGTTTGCAGCCAACTACTGGGTCCAAAAAGGAGCTCCTAAAAACAAAATTGCCATTGGCTTGCCCTTCTATGGTAGATCCTACACGCTGACAACTTCCAACACAGGACTCGGGGCACCAGCTTCACAAGGTCACAGTGGTCCGTACGTTCGCTCGGCAGGATACTTGTCTTACTACGAAATCTGCGAGATCATAAAGAATGGAGCTACTAAAAATTACATAAACGACCAACACGTCCCATACCTTGTCTACGGAGACCAGTGGACTGGATACGACAATGAAGACAGTCTTCGAGAGAAGGTCCAGTATGTCAAAGACAACGGATTTGGTGGCGTCATGGTGTGGGCACTAGACCTGGATGATGTCAAGGGTAAATTCTGTGGAAAAGGTCCCTTTCCATTGGCTAATGCTGTCAAGGATGAATGCTCAAAGTAATATCATGTGAATTAGGAAGAGACAAACAAATTATAAAACATTTTTTTTCTTTGAAAAATACAGAGCACTTATCTGTTGTAGTTATTTGGGCAACGTTTATTTTCGTTAGCCTGGGAAAGTCTAATGAGGTCATTGTAAACAATTGATCCCAATTGTTTTCTTTCTGCTTCTCTTGTAATTTGTCTTCTTCTTCTTCTTCAATCATCGTCGCTACTGCTACTGTTACTCCCCTTCCTCCTCCTTTTGCATGGCACGTTTCAGTGTTACTTTTTTTTCTAAATGAGATTGTATAAGTAAAAAAATTAAAGAAGGTAGAACCGTTGTTTAAAAAAGTCAAGGACTTTTCTTATTTTAGTGCAGCATCCGGTATATGAGACAAGGTCCATATTTTTTTATAGACCAACCAGCAGTCGGTGGATGTTGTTGAATGTTGAATTAGGAATCGAGATTATAGCACTCCCATAAGCGCTCCTTTCCCATCTTCAGCAGCAAGCGGAGAGTTTCAGTTACGATGGTACCAGTAACTGTCTGATTGTATATCAGTCTTGCCCTTTCCTTGAGCGTTGAGCGGCCATATCCTCTTGTAACTTCTCACACATTCTTCTCACCGGGTAATGATTTACTTGTGCATTCACACAGTTCACTCGCTCTTAGAGGGCCCTCATAGCATCTAGCTTGTGATATATCAATTTACACCCAAGTAGTGCAGAATCGGTCGGTCTATCTGCCTACTCATTTTCCATGATACCGGCTTGACCTGGAGAAAATATCCAAAGCATGCTAACTACCCGGGACCTCTGAAGTGATGCTTGCCACTCTGCATGAAGCGTGCCTATCCCCAGCTTTCTCAACATGTTCTGTGAGTCAATTACAATCGCAACATGTGTGTACAATTGATTCTCAAGCCAGCGAGAGGTAGCAGTAACTGCCTCCACCTCCATTCTCAAACTAGACGTTATGATATTATATGCTAGATTTTGATGAACTAAGCGACGTCCATTGCTTTTGCTTTGAACCTCCATGCACTTTGTCTGTCCCTGAACACACAGCCATCTGTATAGATAATCACATCACTTGGGCGGGCATTGTCATGAATCATCTGTTGAAACTCTAATTCTGTAGCGGCAGCTGGCCAGTTACTGCACTCACGACCTAAACTGATCAGAACCCTACAGAAGTCTGAAACTTGCCTGGGCACTTTGACCCACTCCTCTCCTAGCTCATACTTATCAAGCCTGCGCCCATGTCTAATTGTATCTTCAGCTTGCGCCATCCAAGACCTTCCTCTTTTCAGTCTGTGACCCTTAGCTCTACACAGGGCTTCATGCAGGAGTTGCTTCTTGTCTGCAGCTACTCTGAGACTTTGCTTGCAAAACTTTTAGCCTATCTGCAATGGTAGTCAGTGCAAGTATATATCGCATACATACTACGAGAGTATACATTGTACATCTCACAATTACCCGCATAGCTTAATTCTGTATACGTTCAAGTTTCATCAGCTGAATCTTTTGATATGGTAAGCAGTCGGTTGATGATGTGATTAACCTTATACCGGCTGCTTTTACTTCCTATGCTATTCCTTGGCATCCACACTGGGCTTGATCGACCTGGGACCCAATGGTCAATACATATGTTTGTTTTAAATAAATCAGACTCAATGCGGTCTAGCGCCAATAATCCAACCGCGATTAAGGTGTAAACATCTGTATGTGTCTGATCTGAAGCAGACATCGATTGTAATAAAAAATAAATAATAAAAATACTTTCGTTGTCTTTATTTACAAGTTAATATTATATGTATAACTATGTATTGTACAGCTGTTTAAGTCTTTATTCCATATTGTACCTCTTCTGTTGATTATAAATATATTTCATTTCAATTTCTTCATTCCAAGACACACACACAAAAAACTCGCCCCAAAATGATATTTAATTCATTCGTGGTTCTGATACGATCTTGAAATGCAGGCCTTACAGATTCAGTCAGTTACGATGGTTTGGACATGTATGAAAAATGGAAGAAAATCGGCCATTATGGTAGGCATGGGAAGCTAAGGATCAGGCAACCAGACCTCTATGGCGACCCAGGGTCCTATGGAAAGACATCATTCGACAGTCACTGACTGACAGAAAACTGCAACGGAGCAAAACCAAAAAGAAAACTGCTGACAGAGACGTCTGGCGATATCTCTGGCATACCTCTACACCCCAAGGTAGAAGATAAGCGGCTAAGTAAGTAAAGTAAGTGATTTTCATAAACAAATATGAATTTTCAACGATGATACTCCCCCTGTAGATTCAGGTACTCCATTTGAGGTTTAAAAAAAAACAATTCCCCGACTCCTAGTAGTTAGGTTGTAAAGGGGACTAACTTTAGTTTTGCAGTAATCAGACACGTTTTGTCGATAGGCACTAGTATCACAGTCTTGCAATTAACTACAACATGCCAAGCTAACTGTCATTTTAAGGACGACTGCAAAAGGCAAACTTCATTCGCTGTGCGGGGGAAGCCTTGTGCTATCTATGGGAATAGTCTAGAGTGCCCGCTGGGCAAATGCGAGTATGATGCATCGGAGTAGATAAGAGTGCTATGTATAGGCATCACTTGATCTATAGGAATAGATTTGAGTACCCATAGATTTAAGTACCCATGCAGTTGTATTAGCGTGATATTTCAGAATATAGTAGCTTTGTAAGTCTGCTGACGTGATCTGTGAAGAGAGATAAAATAGTTTTCTAAGTTATGATCATGTAGGCTGTGTGAATGGACTCTAGAACCTGTCTCTATAACTGAATGAGAGATGAGGTGAACTTATACACAGGAAAAAAAAAACCGATATACGCTACTTTTCTTCACGTTCACCGGCTATAAACTCCGGCGGAAAGCTATGGTTCGTCCACTTCTGGACTTAGGTCTTGAGTTTTGCTTGCATATCCATTTCAAAAATTTAGCTTACTGGCATGCAGACTGTGGGTTCCTCAACTCTCAGATAGGTAAACTCCGACTTCTGAAGAAATATAGCCAATTAGGTGACTTTTGTGACATGCTTGTTAGGTCAACAGTGAGTCACCCCCTCCCCTAATGGGGCCTTAGAACCCATACACGCACACAAAAAGGAGGGGGGGGGTAGTCAAAAGACTATGTTGACTTGTGTCAAAATTATATCTCTCCTTAATATATAAATATATCTGGAGATACACTGACACTCCAGAATGGCAATTCGTTGTGATGGTGGCTCGTATTGGTCTAGGCAACAAAACCAGAAGCTCCAACAACCATCCAGCGTACGTATACTTCCTGTCCTTTTTAGGATGAAATTTTTCGTTATTTGAAGCCCTATTCTGGCTTTTGCTAAGGGCTGCAATATAGCCTAGCCATAAATATGGCTGAACGCGGTTTCTGGGACCTCTCCACAGTGATCCTCACCCACATGGTGGCACATCGTGTCATCGGGTATTTATCGCTTGTGTGATCTCCTGGTGGGGTAGAAAGTCAGACCATCCAGCACAACTCCACGGATAAGATAACTTAAGTTATGGGTACCCAAAATCCTTCAGGGCTCAACTTGACTAGACACCCTCACCCCTTGTAGAGCTCCCAGACTGGACAGTAACATTATGCTAGTCAAATTCGGTAATTAGAGTTCTGACTGAGTGTACAACACACAGTGAAACTTCACAAGACAAATCGTGGAAGAAAGGGCACTAACTAAGACTTCTTTAAAATTAAATTGAATCATGTAATAACAAAATCATAACAGAAGGAAGCTCTAGTGGCTGAATAAATGAGAGGACACACACAAACAGAAAGACACAAATAATATCATAACAGAAGGAAGCTCTCGTGGCTGAAGAAATGAGAGGACACACACAAACAGAAAGACACAAATAATATCATAACAGAGGGAAGCTCTCGTGGCTGAAGAAATGAGAGGACACACACAAACAGAAAGACACAAATAATATCATAACAGAGGGAAGCTCTCGTGGCTGAAGAAATGAGAGGACACACACAAACAGAAAGACGCAAATAATGTCTCTGAAAGTCAAGACTTTCCTCTGGAATACCAAAGATCAGTTGTACTGGTCAGCATGGTGGTATATATCCAGTTTCGTCCTTTTTAGGACGAAATTTTTTGTCATTTGAAGCCCTACTCTGGCTTTTCCCAGGGGCTGCAATATAGCCTGGCCATACATATGGCCTAAAGGCTGAACGCGGTTTCTGGGACCTCTCCACGGTGATCCTCACCCACATGGTGGCACATTGTGTCATTGGGTGTTTATCGCTTGTGTGATGTCCTGGTGGGGTAGAAAGTCAGTCAGTCAGTAACCTCAGTGTGTGTGTGTGTGTGTGTGTGTGTGTGTGTGTGTGTGTGTGTGTGTGTGTGTGTGTATATATATATATATATATATATATATATATATATATATATACATATATTTATATATTTTTTACCTATAAGTCAACCCCATGTTGGATGCAATTTTTTTAAAGCCCCCACCATATCTTCTGCCAGGGGGCACTGAATATAGCCGGGGCATATGTATATGGTATAACGGCAGAAAGGGGTTTCTTGGACCTCTCTACGGGTGATCCTCATCCGCATCGTGGCACTTTGCGTCACCGGGTGTTTATCGCTTGTGTTGTGGGGTACAACTACCTACCTACCTACCTTCCTACCTACCTACCTACCTACCTACCTACCTTCCTTCCTAATTACCTACCTACCTACCTACCTACCTTCCTTCCTAATTACCTACCTACCTACCTACCAACCTACCTACCTTCCTTCCTAATTACCTACCTACCTACCTACCTACCTACCTAACTTCAGGGCTTGTAAAGTAAACTTACATGACTGGTTCCAGGGAAGACCTGAGTCCCTTTTCTTCCACGTTACAGTGTCGAGCTTCACATACAGCGCCTTCGTTGTCGAAAACCTAAATAGCATACAATAATGGTGACACAGGAGACAATCAAAATGGGTAGGTGTTGTACA